GGTGAGCGAAACTGTTTTCCAGCTGTTTTGTAGATTCTTAGCTTCCAAAATAAGTAATTGAATTTAAGATTTGTATTTATTCTTGTGGTGCTTTTTAATCAAACACGGGCTAACAGACACTTTTGTACACATACTTTAGAATCTCTCGTTTCTGAGGAAACTGTACTTTATGTCGAAAATGTCACTCGAGATTGAAATAAAAGTATCTCCATGAAAAATAAAGTTAAATTCAACATATCACACATCATTCGATTTATTAAGAACTGAGAAATTTTTTAAGACATGCGCCAAGTTTTTAGCACAAGTGCCGGTATAGGTAGGAGAAACACTGTAAAATCAGATGTTTTCTATCGAAAACCATAAGAATCAGTCGTCTTGAACAAAGAGTTAATTTCCAAGAGAAAAAGAACGTGCCAGTCAGGAAACACCCTTTTCAAAATCATTGAGGACAGTAGTATATAGTTTAATAATAGAAAAAACATTTCAGGCAACTTGTTTTTTTTGAATTTTTTCATTCAAATGGTGTAATACTCACGCAATTCACTCATGTACGTAAGGTGTTAGAATTTATATAAATAAATCTGCACGTACTTTAGCATGTCTTAACGAGTGATAGCACTTTCGTCACGTTAATTCTCGTCACACAAAAAAGAGAACGACAGTGTATGGCATTTTTTTTGGGGGGGGGCACCATCCCACATTTTGGTCACCAAAGTGATGAACTATCATAACTAACTATGTAACATACCTACAACTATCGTCACAATCCAAAAAGAACTTTCATCATACTAATAACATAACGGCAAATAACGCGATATAACGGGTGATAAAAGTTCATATGCTTTATTTTACCATTTTTCTCACGTTTGTATACTGTTATTATTGACTGCAAAATAACTGCTTACATTTGGACTACTCCAATTTGGACTGCTGCAGTGTGAACTACTTCAGACGAAACTACTCTCAAACGTAACAGACGCTTGATTTTGATACTTTGACTTTAGAAAGAGACTTGAAAAGGAGTCTTTACGCGTTTCGCTAAGAAAATACAATGTTTGTAATGGAAAAAGGCAAGAAGTTATTACTCCAATGTGTACTGCTACAGTTTGCATTACTGCAGTTTGAACTAATGAACTTTGCACTACAACCTTGATTTCATCACAGTCGTTTCATGTTAGTGTGACGAAAGTGCCTTGCCACCTATCTAAAAAACTAGGCACTTTCGGCACAACCGAGAACGAACTTTCGTTAGAAAAGGGGTTAAGTTTCGTAACCACTGTGTAAATACAGCTAAACTTTCATCACATGCTGAAAGAGCTTTTATTCCGGAAAACAGAACTTTCGCCATGTCATGAAAATTCAGCGTCGCCCGACGGCGAAAAGGTATGGTGATGGAAGTGCTGTGAAACGCTTTAATTATCACTGCAGATTTCTACGATATAGTTATTTTTGGAATTTGCAATGTAAGCATATTCTGGATCTTATGTTCTTTTCTGTTCAACTATACAGTTGTCAGAACGAGATGACAAGATGTAGATGTTGTAGGTAAAATTAAAATCCAGGTAAATTTTAAATTTGTCTGGATTTTAATTTTGCCTACGACATAGATGCAAGCACCTGACTTTTCTTATGATCTTAATTGCATAACAGGCAGATTATTTTTATTGCCAACCGAGTAGTATGGAAGAAACGGGTTTGCTCTTTGACTTTTGTTAACTATTGCATTTTTTTCATCGGATTTTAACAGATGATAAAACGATTTGACTGTATTGAATTTAGAAAAATTATTATCCTTCTAAAATAACTTTTATTTCGTTTGTTCATTAAAATAAAACTACAATTGGTTAAAATGAGTACAAACTAACATTCGAGGTCCATATGTGTATAAAAGTGTGTACAAGTTATTTACCAATATGACTGTAATTCCCATTTGGGTTTTTCAGCAAAAAATTCATCTTTATTTACAATCCAGTTTAGTAGCTCTTCAACAAGTTCTTTTTGTTCTTCGGCAAATCTTTTCCACGATTCTTGCATGTCCATTATTTCTTTAGCATGATGAATAAAAAATTCGATACAATAGTGTTTAACCATTATGTTATCATATTTATATGCTGCTTTCAACAGTAATAATACATTATTCAGATTAATTCGTTGTGATAAATCTGTATAAAAAGCAATATTTTCCACTTTCTTTGACTACAAGGTACACAAGATCTAAGGATTTCATTTCAGTGAAATGGGAATAACTTATGATCCTATAGCGATTAAAAGTTGATCTTAGTATCGAAATATAGCCATGACTTTTCTTCTACGGTATAAATTCAAATTTAATTCACAATTGCAAAATTTAGATCTACAGCTCTAAAAATCTGTCTCAATGAACAGAAAAAAAATTACTCAATGCTAATGAAGTGTATATACGAAAACGAGTCTAATGAACTAAAATGCTTTCTTGTTATAATAAAAGCCACATGCAGTATACACCATAGTTAAGCTAAAATTCATTCATTCATTCATGAGAGAAATATTTAGTTATAACAAATGCGTCAATAAGGTATGGGTACTTTTAGATTATTTTATCGATTTGCAGCTTAGGCGCCGCATTACTAGCTGGGGTGGGCTCAGCCCACCGTAAAATATTTTGAGCCCACCCAGAAAAATTTTTCTGGACTACGTTACAAAATTCAGTGAGGCCGCGCCCACCCTGGTCAAAATTCAAGGGGCCTGAGCCCAGCCTAGTCTAAATTTCTGGCGCCGCCGCTACGCATTACACTGTAGAAATGACGGCAACACGTTACAGTTGTTATAGTTTGTGTATTTCACAAGTTGACGTCATTTTCACGTCGAATTTTAGTACTTCTCATGTATTTATACCGTAGACAGATGAGAATTTTACCAAAAAAAAAAAAAGCATAATTTCTTTGGATCAGATGGTAGATAATTTCTAATATTCTTGATAGAATTAATTAGAATAATAACAGCATTTTATAGAAAAGAGACGAACATCTTCTATCTCATGAACCATCCCGTCAAAGTGGCTTGAACTTGTAAGATAACAAGGATTTAGTGAATATTACAACTATAAAAAATGTTGAAGTTACTAGTGGGCATGCACTGGTTATAACCGATAAATTTTACCTTTTTCCTGCTACGGATTGCATGAAAAGTACGCATATTAAAATTTTTCTAAGAAGCAAACATTTTTCTACAAGATGAGCTATTGTGGAAGCCTTCATGGTTTCTATTTCTGCCGCAATCGCTTTTTGACGACGAGCCCTAAATCGGTTATAATTGATCATGGAAGTTTTAAGAAATCTTTTTTTTTATGAGTACTCGATTCAAAAAGAAGAATATAGTTTATCTTTTAGAAATTGTTTGCTATACAAAACTCGATTGTTAGGAAAATTTTGGAGGATCACTTTTCGTTGAAAAAACGTTTTTGTAAAGAAAATGCACAATTTCAATTGGTTACTTGGTCACTATAATGGTGATGATGATTCATGAGTTACAAGAATATTTTTACTTTGGAAGAGTACTATGGATAAATGGTGGTATACAAACTTACATTTGCCCGAATGAACTTTTAAATCTTTGATATCATATCGACCGGCAGCATCCAATAATTCATATGCTAAAATAATTTTTTGACATACGTATATTGAAAGAAAGAAGTTATGAATCGATTACCATTTGATTCTTTTAGTTCACATTTCCCCGTATACATAAAGATAACAACATCTTTCATTATTTGTGGATCCGTTTTTTTGATAATTATAACAAGTTTTCCATTATGTTGATGTGTTTCTAATTGATGACGTGTGCGATCATCCAGTTGATTATATTCATTATTAAGAACCGCTACAAAAAACCACAAATTCAGTCTGATGTAGCATTGAAATAAGAAAATTGTAGTTTACCGTTAAATACTGAAGATCGAGATACCAGTATACATTTGTGAACAGCCATATAAGTTCCTAAAATTGAATAGTTAGCACATTTAATACGATCATTTAACAATAGAGAACCTACGAACCTTGTACATTTAGATAACAATCAGAAAGATTTGTTCTATTTAATAAAAAGCCCAAGTCTTTTGATAAACCTTCAAGTAAATGACTATTTGAATCAAATTGTTTCTGTTGTGGGCGTTTATCTCCAGCTACCAAACTGTTTGGTGTTCGTCCGCCACTGTCATGTGTAACAGGTGATTTGCGCTCATTGTTCACGTGTTGATTAGGTGGTGGAGTAGTTAAAATAAAACCTGTATTTGATTGGTCCATGATCTAGAATAGAGATGTAGCCGTAGCGGTTTTCGTTCTCAACTGTCAACGGTAATTCATCAGTTGACGTTCTGAACTGTCAACGGTATTTTTTATCAGTCGAAATCCACTGAACTAACATTCCTAAATTAGTAATATCTTCATTTTTTCAGGGAAAGAGTCATGTGGGTGACAATCTCTTGTCCACCAAAAAGATTTAAAAAACTTTTCCTGTTTTTTTTCTGTTTCGTGCTTCTTTTCTTCAATTATGTTTCCTCCCGAGAAGCTATTTTAGTTGATTAGTAGTCAATTTCTCTACTTATACTGAACTCCAATATAACAACATAACGACATAATATTTTACGTTGACAGTCTTGAACATTAAGTGATGAGATGTCGCTGATGGTACAGAACGTTAACGACAAAACCGGCACCGTTCCTGAAATTTTTGCCAAACCAACGTGAACGGCTACAGCCCTAGTCTAGAATAAATCAATGAAGTTGTATTTGTGCTAGTACAAATTTAATGAAGTCAGTATCGTTGTCAATTACAAATCATCTGTTAACTGATGAACAAACATATGTTCATAATATAAAAAATGTTGTAACATAACTCACTCTGCAGTCGAGCTCTAACTTGTTGTTTTTCGTTCAGAACGTAAAGTTTGACAATCAAAACACAATTTACCACTGATCATATAGCAAAGAGAAGTTGTCATGACAGTTATCAGATACCCTTGAAATAAAAAAGAAAAGTCAATGAATAGACAAGCAAATTTTTTATTCTCACATAAGT